GCTGTCTCCGTAGGTCTCTGCATTTCTAGCCTGAGTTCCCTCTCACTTTCCTCCACACTATCACACTTTCTAAATGCAAGTCTCTTCATGAATTCCTCTTGCCTTAAAATTCTCCACTAGCTCTCCATTGCCGACACGATACAAATTTAGATTTTTATCTCCTCTGCCTCGTACACAGCACCCTCTGCCGTAGGTCCCACCTTCTTGCCTGGCATCTTCTCCCACTACTCCTACCCTGGCACGCCTCCCATAACCCGCACCCCTTACTGAACACCTCTGTGTGCCAGGCACAGTCCCTTCTACCACTGCGAGAGGTGGGCACTACAAGTCTCCTTTACAGACGAGGAACCTAACGCTTGAGGAAGGTAAGTGACTTGCCCACCGAGCAGGTGGTGATCAGCATTTCTACTCTGGTCTGATTTCAAAACAAATCAGAGCTTTATTTTGCTCACCTATCAACAAGCCTGAAGGCAGGTGACTGCTGGACTCTTCAGGGGCTCAAAGGCACCAACAGGGCCCCAGGGTCTTCCGACCTTTCCTCTCTGCCACTTCGGCAGGTTGGCTTCCACCCTCAGCCTTGTTACTCCACGGTCTCAAGACGGCTGCTCAGCTGGAGATACCATATTTGGGTTCCAACAAGGAAGGAGGGGGAGGGCTACCCCAGCGGAATCTGTCCTCCCTAGCCCCCCTCACTTTTTTCCTAGAAACCCCCAGCACACTCCTAGCTGCAAGGAGGGCTGGGAAATCAGGGAATGTGACTGTGACGGTTGGGGTTGAGATCAACCAGGATCAACCAGGATCCGCGACTTGGGGCTGAGCCCACTGATGCCAGAACAAAACCGGGGTTCTGTTAGCAAAGAAGAAAGGGGATGAAGATGGGCTGGCGGCAAACAGGGTCCCCCCGCTGATCCTGCTCAGCAGAAATGAAGCCCCAGAGGTGCCCTGACAACCCCGTCTCTCCTCACTTCCTCCCCACGTCTGCCTGGCAAAACCTTCCATCCATCACGTGCCCAACTCACTCCCCAGGCAGACTGGTGCGCCTCTTCTCCCTCCCTCTATATTACGTCCATGCTTCTATCATGGGTATCTAATGGTCACGACAGCAATTAATGTATTATAATGTGATTGGCCAATCAACTATGCATTCACTCGTTTTCTCCACAAATGCCTACTGAGCACCTGCTGTGTGCGGGCACCTGCTGTGTGTGAGCACCTGCTGTGTGCGGGCACCTGCTAGGAGCTGGGAGCTCATCAGTAAACGAGTTAGCCTTCTAGAGTTGGTCCCTGCCCTCATGGAGCCTTCAGTCTACTACGTGAGCGATTCAGATGAACAGACACGGAAGACACTGCATGCCAAGGCCCAGGACAGCGGAACGATGCCGATATGGTCTCCTCAGACCATGAACAGCCGGGTGGCAGGGGCTGTCGCGTGTCTCCCTAGGACCTAGCGCAGCGTCTCACACAACGCAGATGCGCTAGGACTACGTCTTAAACCCACACATTACTCAGGGAGGCCAGGCTTTGAAACGAACTTTAAATTCTCGTTTGTACCAGGAAGCCCCCGAGAATGAGCCGCTGTACTCCTGCAGTATTAAACCCTGCTCTTCCCCACTCTGTGGCAGGAAAGGTTCTTCTCCTGGGAAAGACGCTAAGGGTGTCTGAGATAACACCTCCCAGCAGAGGCCCTCAGGAGACACGTGTTTTTTGGCTGCGGGCTTCATTTGGATTTTTCAAAACAGGGCTACCTCACTGTCCGTGCCACAGCTGCTGGGTGCAGTTTTGAAAGCACTGAGAATAAGTCCTCAGGTCCCCGTTCCGTAGCTTCTCCGGCAGTTTTAATGTTCTTCAAGCGCTCTGTGCTGCTGCCCTTTCTGCTGCTGCAGGTGACGGCAGCGGGGAAGCCGGCAGGCATTGGTCTGCGCTTCTGTTGCCATGGGGATGTTGACAAGTGACACAAAGGGGACAGGTTCTGTGGCACCCAGAGAGGTGGGACATAAACACGTGAGACCTCCCAGACTCCTAGGCTGGGAAAGGACTTCATAAGGCCAGCTGACCCATTCCCCTGCCTCTTAGCGAAAATCAAATGGATGGACAGCTTGTTTCTCAAAACCCTCAAGAATAAAGTCCACAACCTCCCTGAGTCACCTGGGAGGCTGACTTCACAATATCCATGACCCTGGGTGGGTTCTCTATGTCTGATCTCACTCTCTCTTGCTGTCCTTCCAGCCCAGTTCCTCTTAGTATTGCTTCTGTGGAAATAAAAGTTTATAATCACCCTCCACACAGAAACCCAGGAGGGAAGATCAGGAAAACCAAAGCCACCGCTGCAGTGTGACTCTGCATGTCCCTGCACCGCCCCGCCCAGCTGTGGTCCTCCAGGGGTCCCTGTCCCTGTTCTGAGTGTCCTCCCAGCAGGCCAGGCTGTCTTGGCTGTGTCAAGGAGTGGGCTGCAGGGGCAGGGAGTAGTACATGGTACTGAGGTGTATATGCCCACTGACCAAGCTGAGAGGCCCCGGGGCTGGCACTGCCACCTCCCGGCTAGTCAAAGGGGGTCCCCCTCTCCCTGGGTGGGACAAAGTGGAGAGAACAGGAGGGGCTGTTTTTAACAAACATCTTTAAAAAGCCTTTGTGGCAGCAGACAGAGCCCAGGGCAGCTGGGAAACCCACGCTGATGGTAAGACGGCTCTCTTGCTTCCAGATGACCCTGCAAAACAGAAATGCTTCTGCTAAATTACGAGTGTGGCTTTTTCCCACCTCACATTAAAAGGAAAAAAAACAAAAACATCACAGCCTTCAAAATCATTTCAGAATCCTCCTGCCTGAAAAATGCGTGCTGGCCTTAATGGCATAGCCTGGTCAAAGGGCAAGGCAGCAGGAAAGTGCCCAACCCAAGATGCAGATGCAGGCGGAGGGGGGATACTGCTCCCACCTCTTCCAGGAGCCACAGGAAGCCCTCCCTACCACCAAGCAGACAGGAGGAAAAGGCCACCTGCAGGAGCATTCTGACAGAGGGAGCCGCTACTAACGCCCCGTCCATTCCTGCTGGCTCCTTTTTCCCTGAACTACTCCCCATGCTGTGCCTTTAACCCACGTCACTGGGTTCAAACAGGTGTCTCCTGCTGCTGACAGGCGGGACACACGCAGGACTAACCTTGGCCACCCTTCACAGTCCCCGCTTCTCCCAAAACCGTGTTGGGAAACCTAAACACCTGTGCTGTATTTCTCTCTAGCTTCTCTGCTTGGTTTCTCCCACACCCTGGACCAAGAGACCAGGGCTCGTTGTCACGCGAGTAAAAATGCTTGTCTCTAAGGGAGGTCAGCACCTACCCCGAGGCCGGATTCCTGCTGGTCTCGCCCACAAACCAGAGCGTCATGATTTTGCTAATTAAGTCGCTTTGTTTTCCTTAATTAGCTGCATGTGAATCTTGTTGGGAAGTCTTGGATCCGTGAAATAGTCTGGGATAAGAATCAAAATGAAGAAATCATCTAAACCCAAGGGGACAAGCCTGGGAGGGGGACGCCCTGCTAAGCGTTAGGGTGGCCTGGCCCTAGCAGAACTGTCACTGGTGGCCCTGCTTTACCACGTAATAGGAGATGTCACAGCAAATCCCCATGGTCACTGTCCCCACCCGAGCTGTTCTGAGCCTGCCAGCTCACGTGTCCCCAGCAAGGGCTCACACGGGACAGCTCCATCCCCTCTGTGCTGGCTGTGCGTCTGCTGGCTGACGCACACGGAGCATCAGAAGGCTAAGTGATTCTCTGGGTTTTCTGCTCCTGGCCCATATCGGGGGCCCCCCAAATGCCAAGTATTATTCTTGTCTCAGCTCTGCGCGCCAGCTCCTGTCTCTGGGATACCACAGCCTCTGAGAATATCCTGTCAGAGGATGACACCAGAAGAGGGCTTTCATGCGCCCAGCACA